CATTCAATGTTCGCAGTCTAAGACAAATAGATCGACAGGCTACACTCACACGCACATAGGACACACTGAGTATTGACGTGTGTTCGGTGTCCGAAACTATGATCGATGACACTAATGGGTAGTTGAATTAACTGCGCCCTGATTGTTCTCTCGCTATTGGTTGCACGCACCCGCAGACGCTGATGCAGCATTCACGGGTCAAGCTGGTGTAGGTATCATTCTAAGCTCCAAGGCTGAACCATCGTTGGTTGATTGGATTCCGATGAACAGCCGTTTATGTGCAGCCCGTTTGACGACATCAGCTAAGGTGGATCCAAGAAGTAGTACAAAACGCTGTTTGTTTGTGATTTCCGTTTATGCTCCCACCGACTGCAGTTCTGATGCTGTCAAGGACACGTTCTGTCACAAACCGAACGCGCTACTACGCAGTGCTAATAGTTCAGATATCATAGTACTTGCAGGGCATATTAACCCACAAGTAGAGCGTCTGAGCTTTTCAAAAGCTCAGCTAGATGGTACTTATGGGCTCAACTCTGAACGGACTGACAACGGTGAGCGTCTGTTGCAACTGTGTGCAGAGCACCGGTTGTTTCTTACTAGCGCTGCTTTTAGACACAGTGGGCACCGAAGTGCCACTTGGCTTCCTCCTGTAGCTGACCAACCATGGACACAAATTGATCACATTGCCAAAAGTTTCAGGTGACGTGGTTCCTTCCTGCATTGTCGCTCGTTGTGGAGTACTTGCGTCGACTCTGCTCATGCCTTAGTACACTGTCGTTTCTCCATGGACTTTACCTGGAGGCGCACCAAGCGACTCCTCCAATCGGCTTCTGAGATATTGTCTCAGTCCTCGGTCAGGCAAGCCTATCAAGGGGCACTGCATACCAAACTTTTGCTGTCCTGTTCTAATGACACTGTGCTTCAGTGGAATAGGATCTCCGCCGCCATACTCGACGCAGGAGTATCTGCTTGTGGCACTATCAATCGTCACCGCACCGGTCACTGGATATCCGAGAGGTCGGTGAACCTGTTGGAATCTAGAAGACACCTCCTGGCTGGTTCTGAACACAGTGTGACCAGACGGACCATTAAGTGCGAAATAAAGCGAAGCTTGCGTGCTAACAAGATGCCTGATGAACCAGTCACGCTCAAGAAATGGAGGAGGCGTGGGCAGTTGCCGCAACCTCTTCCACCTGAGTCGCACCACCGTTCCCGGGAAACCAGACCTCAGTGAGTCAGTGACAGCTTGGGTGCTTGATTCACAATAAGGAGCGTCGTGTGGCTCTTTGAACAGAACACTTTCAAGATCAGTTCAATTGTTCACCTGCTCCCGCACCTCTTACTACCATGGACGGTTAGTTTAGAGGCTCCATTGGAGTCTTAGGTCCGAAGCGCGATCACAGCCCTTAATCGTTTTCGTGTTGCTGGCCCGGATTCTCTCCCATCTGCACTATTTAATGATGGAAGTGAGATCTTCTGCAAGGCACTGACTCCTCTGTTCGAACATATCTGGTAGGAAGTTACCCGGCTAATTGAAGTGGATCTATTATAATAGCAACGTACAAGAAGGGTAGTTGCACCGACTGTGCTAACCACGCCAGTTGTGACAAAGATACTGGCCTCGATTCACGTTTGTCGCCACAGTAGGATGGGAATCTCGGGTTATTGAAGAGCAGGCAGGTTTCCACGCAGGACGTGGCTATATAGACCATATATTCATTCTGCGGCAGGTGCTAGAGCAGCGCCACGCAGACCGACAATAGCTGTGTTCCTCGATCTCAAGAGTGCGTTCGATCCAGTCGATCGATCGACTCTGTCCGAAATACTTGCACGGGAAGTTGTTCCCACGAAATATGTGAACATCGTTCGTGCTCTATACCCGAACACTACAGGCCGAGTCAGGGTCTACGGTAGCCTATCGGATAGCTTTCCGACCACAAGTGGCGTTCGTCAGGGTTATCCGATTTCCCCGTTTTTGATCACTTTCGTCGTGGACTCCATCATGATGTGTTCTCTTGCGGAGTCTCACGATGTAGGCGTTGAAGTGCTGCCTGGTGAAAGGTTGGTTGATCTGGATTATGCGGACGATGTTGTCTTATTTGTTGACGATGTTGCGGCGGCACATTCAACCCTGAATAGCCTCTTTAGGATGGCTTCATTATTTGGTATGCATTTCGCACCTTCAAAATGCAGTGCCGCTGCCTGACGAAAAGCCATTTGATGACTCCTTAATAACGAGGAGCTTGAGCTGGTTGATCTATTCACTTATCTTAACAGCTGCATCAGCATTGATGGGCGCATAGAAACTGAAGTCAGTTCAAGCATTGCAAAAGCTAGAACTGTCTACTTGTACCTGCGACATCTTTGGCGACAGAAGGGACTTTCGCTTCGTCTGTAAGGCCGGGTATACAAGGCCACAGTGAGGACCATCTTACCTTATGAGAGCGAGACTTGGCCCCTTCGGTCTGAGGATCTGAGGCGCCTTCAAGTCTGCGGCGCATTGTTGTTGTCAGGTGGCACCAACGTATCCGGAGCGATGATGTGCATGTACGAGTACTATGCAACGGTAGTCAAGCTAGTCCCTTCGAACGACGGATAGCATTGAATACTTTGCTTTGGCTTGAGCACGTACTACGTATTCCCGTCACCGCTTGCCCATGGAGCGCCTTGTTTTGTTTGCCAGGTGTTGGGTGGCGCAAGGCTCGCGGTGGAGAAAAGTTCATTTGTAAGCGGGAAATGAAGTCGCTAACGACCAAACTTGCTGCCATCGTTTCGTCTGGCCCTCCTGACTGGAGTCCACGTGACTCGCCTTGTGCTTAGCTCTGGAATTTACATGGTTCACAACCGACACCAATGGTGCTTCGGCTGCCGTCTCCTAGTCGGATTGCCTGTTTAACGTGCGTTTCCTGATGAGTTATCTGCGGGGTAATGGCTGATTATGACGCGGAGCAGTTAAAACCACAAGTAAGCTGCCTCGCTGATTTCTTATTATGTTTGCACAATAGCGCCAGCTGTTTGTGACGGTATGCTGTTAACACAAGGTGTAGGCGTCGTGACTCTGAATTATTGGTTAGGGTATTAAGGTTTTCCGATTAGGCCCCTTTCTCTCTTTCTTGTTATCCTTCATTCCATAGGTCATCATGGTTGTAATGCGACGAAACATCAGTACAAGTGACTGATGTACTGCTGCTATTATTTTTTTGGTTTGGAGTAGATCTCATTATGACGTATCGGATATTGCATCTGAATCACTTCCCTATGCTGAGGCCACTGCTTCACGTGCGCACCAAGCAACACTGACGAGCTCCGGTACAGGCTAGTGGTGCCGGATCTAAAGCGGATAGCTCAGCCTCTATGCTTCGAGCGCCGAATGGTGAAATATTGGGACGATTTTCCTGCGAGTATTGTCGAAACAAATTTGATGTCAGAATTCAAGCAATTCCTAGACATCCACTTTGCCTATTTCAAATTAAGGGTGCACATCGCACTTGAATGACATATGGTGCAACTGTGATGTGCAGCAGACGCGTACTTGCCCGAACTAATTACGATGTAGCAACACAGACACATGTCTGCTAGCTCTCTATTTTCAGTATTCAGTATTCATATCCCCCGCAACAATCACGATATCCGAACTGGTTACAGTGTGTAGTAGTGTGTTCAGTTCATGGTAGAAGGTGTCCTTGGCAGCATCAGGATGGCGGTCTGTGGGAGCGTAAGCGAAAATAACAAACAACCAGCGTCTAGTGCTTCTTCGTTAATCAACCTTAGTTGATGTTATCAAACAGGCTGCTCGCAAACTGTTGCTCACCGGAGTCTAATCAACCAGAGACAAGTTAACATTGGAGCTGAAATCGATGCCTACCCCAGTTTGACCAGTGGTTACCTCATAAGGGTCGCCGTATGTGTGCTGCCGAAAGCGAGAGAACAAGCAGGGCGCTGCGGGTGACGCAGAATGTAGTTGAGGATATAGTTGATAAATAATAATGGTTCTACGTCGGTTGAGGTACTGCCATGGTGCCCAAACCTAGACAAGAGAAGGGTTTTGACCAGTCTGGCTCAAGAGCCTGTTCGCCATTCAGCAGGATAGCATCAGTTCGGTTTTACAAAATGAATGCCATACCATTTGCAATCTCCAACCTGGAGGACTGGGGGATTGAGTTTGTCTGACCTTTAACCACTTACCATATTAATATGAGAAGCTTTCGATGGTCCCGGGACACTAACAGATACAGCTCAGTGAGTGGATGAAGTACGCACACTGTCGTACCACGTGAAGGTCCATTCTTGTCACGATGGACTATATTCCACTACTGGCTTTTTCTAGTTTTCGCTATACAGCTAAAGCTTATCAAGCGGGGAGTGTAGGCCGGCGGTAGAGCTCCCGGACGGTCGCGTTCATCACTCCATCACCGCTGTCTGGAGTGACATTTGATTATTGGAAGTTTACTGCATCCACATTTGAAGATTATGAGCAAGGACGATGCCGTTTGTCGGATACAGTTCCATTGGTAGTAGTAAACCAGGTAAACCTCGTTGTTAGTCACGGCCCAACTGGAGACTGTGTGGCGCTTCCTGCACGCATCATGTGCTCCATGGTCCCAACAGCACATTATCGGTCATCCCTAGACCGCACTCTTCATAACGTTAGCAAGACTTTTTTGGTTGGTATATTTGGGTCAACACGCTCTTGGAATTATGTGTTCGATTACTAAATGCATACACCTGTTATCTTTTGTTTTCGCAACATCCATCTCAAGTTGCTGAAGGAACTCCACTGCTTTAACTTTTTCGAACGTGTTCTTCCTATCCTATTCCTTCCTACGCATATCGATTTAATAAAATCGCGGTGATTCTCGGGGTACTGCTTACACAGGTTTCTTCAAATCAGGTGGCGTTTGTTTCTCATTTTCCTTTGAACCGATACCCACAAACCATTGATACTGTTTGTCATCGTAACGGTGAATATTATATCACCTTATTCGAACGTTCTTCCACAGGAAGTGTACCGACACCACTGAATCTGCACCACTGGATTGCATTTACTTCGAAGGAGAAAGGACCTCTCATATGACTCACTCTTATCCGGATTCCATTAACATGGAGTGTCAACGTCTGCTCTCACGTTTGCACGAACTAAAAGGGAGCACCGGTTCTCTGCGTAAGCATACCTCATTTCTGGATGCGCTGAACCTGGATGCATTCGATTCGGCTCCACGCATATTCGATCTCCTGGCAGACATGTTTCTTAGTGTTTTGTCGTCAAGAAAACCGCGCTTGAAGCCTATGTCTCCTCCGAAGGTCAACGATCAAGTCACCGATGACTGGACCACGGCCACGGGGTTGGAGCTTGGGAGTATTCCACCAACCAAATCACGCTACATTCCCCGAATGGATTTGACCGCTTTTCGAACCTTTTGCAGGTTATTTCTCATTTAAAACAGGTTTCTGGTAACACCTTACAGTCGTGATCTTCCTCTTTTTGTGCCTCGTATACATTTAGATGCACGAGGTTTTAACGGACATTTTTCTATTTCAGGCGGTCAGTGTGACTAAGCTACACTCCGGCTATTTATTTTAGTCTCACTGTGCCAGTTACCTTCACTTGCAGATTTTACTCGCATAGCTGACCACGCTTTGCTGCTAAATACAGACAGTCAGTTCCTCTCTTGCTAATGAGGACCCCTCAACGCTTCGCAATAGTACTTCACAACTGATTGGTAAATTGTTGCCCAGCGGGACGAAAAGGGAATACGAGTACTCAGTGGCACGGAATTTGCTCGGGCGTGTATGTCCTGATGTTGCTTCATCTCCTGATTCCCTCTACCACGTTCCATAATTCTGCCATATTCTCCAGTCAGCGCGTATACAGCACGTAGTCCGTCCGGTTTGCAGAGCAATAGCAGAGATACTGTAGAGGTCCAGACACTTTGTTTGTCGTTCTGGTTCAATTCTCCCCTCTCTTTCCCTTATATGGGTTTGCCTAATCCTGCGGTATTCGTGCTCGTGTAGAGCTACATTAGTGCAAACTACTGCTGTATTGCTACAGTCACACAACCTACGTTTCGGTGTGTGAGCAGCGTTGCACCCAAATTCTTGACGAATAAGGCAAACGTATCGTTGCAGGAAGTACGTCCCGGGAACCGTTGCATCGGCTGTTCGCAAGCTTATCCATCCTCAAATGATCTATAGACGCGCACCTCTCTTTTTTAATATTTGTCCTTATGATTTCATAGATCTGTAGGTTTTTTTCAATTCATGTAAGATGCTCATTTCTGTGAGTCCCAAAGAGGAACATGAGCGGTAAATTTTCGACAAACAATTGTTTTCTATTAATTCATCATCAGGTTGTTACAATAATAGACGCTGAGTTGGAATAGGTTAGCTTACTGTACGGCAGGTTAATTGATTAAACGGTTCAAAGTGGTTTCCCAACATTGGTCAGGTGACTAGGCCACGGATATCACATGAGTGTTGGGATGTGATCCCCTCCTTTCATTTGTGGTTGGCCAAGTCATTTGTAGCGATTGAACCGTCTTCTTTTGGATGCATAAGTTTGGGTTCATCTGTCTTACACATACCGCCCCCGCGGTAACAAGCAGACGATTCCTTATTCTGTCGTTCGGGTGTGGTGATACTTTGTACGCGATGTCAAAAGCGGTTTGTTTGTCAACTTGATATCCGGTGTCCATCACACGATTTATTATTGCACTGCAGCTGGTTCTGTTTGTCTGGTTGCTGAGCCAATTCTCTTACCTAACTGTCTGGTCGTTCGTCCAGTGTACTTAAGCCGACAAGGACAAGTGAACTGATAAACTCTCATTCACTGGAGACGATCAGGCACTTGGTCTTTAACTCTCGGAACAAATGGAGGTTGACTCATGTAAATCGCATTTAGATCAGCTGCGTTAATAGTTATGTTTGTGTTTTGATACCCACGTAGGGCAAACGTTTTATCTGAGCAGGATTCTTCGCATATCATTTAGGGTATACATTTATTTTCACGCAATTTTCCCTGTTGCTTGTGCTTCCACCGCAGTGATACTTTGTTTGCGGTTTTTTTCACATTGCCATTCAGTGGGAGGTAACGTTCGTTCGCCTGCCTGTTTTTAGCTTACTTCCGCGTCTGTGTGTTAGCACCGCGCAGCAGCGGCTTATGCAAACAGAAAGCGCGAAACCTAGCAATTATACATATGGCTTTAGAATATTTAATTATTGCAAGTAAAAGCTATTCGATCGTAGCTTCTGATGCAGACTACTTCGACGGTTCTTACATTTGTCTCTCAACGCAGCAGAAAACAGCTTTGATGCTTGCGGGCGCGAGTCAGCTACGAAGACATTGCACTGCGGTCCATACGAGTTCACACATACCATCATCCCTGTTAATCGGGAATATTAAGGCATTTTTCTATTTGTATTTAAATTATCCTTGTTTTACACATCGTTCATCCTCTCTTCTTACTTGTCACCCATTATTAAGTGAATCCTAGGTGATTCAATCACCACGTTCACTACAAGAGCAAACCCAGATGTTGCGTTCAGCTTTATCTTAGCGTCAACTATAGAAAGTCACTCATTCAGCTCAGCTTGAAGCTAGAGTGCATGCCAAAGGTGCGCATCGTGGTGACCATATGCCACCCTCTCAACCATTGAAGTAGGTTTTCAACTGCGTTCTAATGGAGTTGTAGCTAGCTGCATCGTCGCCAACAACAACCAATCAGCTGCAAGAGCCAACCCTCAAATGGGTATTAGTAGACAGTTTTAAAGATAATTCGTTCGACTCACACTCTTCAGCCCATCATCGCACACTGAATTGCCTCGTATTTCCCTATCGACTCGTTGGCATTACGTGTCCTATTTACCCAGTGAAAGCCCAGAACGTGCAATCCATTTCTTCCGAACAGTGATTCGGCACTGGTAACTGCGGCGGCCACAGACATCGCATTTGGATAGAAGTGATAAGCAATCGCCACTTCCCGGTCGAGTGCATCCCAGTGATGGAAGTGCATTATTAGGCACAACATTTGAGACGAAAACCAACGTGAAGATTTGACCACGATGACGAGATTACCCGTTTGCAATGCCCGTCCTCCACTTCGTAGTCAATTTCACATTGCTATGGGTAACCTACTGGCACCACCCCACTTCACGTTTTCCTGGTTGTGCATTTCAACTTGCGCGCTCTAGAAACCTCGACCACACTTGGTGAGTATTTCAAGGTGGAACTACAAACTCTAATCGCTGATTGACCACTGTACAACCATGTTACTTCTCCAAAGCGTTTCAGGACAGGAGACAATCTGGCCATTTTGAACCTCGTCTTCACTAGCGGAGAATTCTTTGTTGCTATGACGATGGGCACCCCCTATTGGCCGCAACATCCATACAACACTACTGTCCCGCTACATGCGTTACGCAGAGTACCTCAAAGAAAGCACCGAAGAATCTGTCGTCAGAATCACTTATGGTAATCTGTCCGATTTCATTAATGGATACATGAGATCAGAGACCTGGCTAGTTTGCAGTGAAGGTATTAAACCATTAGCTTTGTTCGATCACCGATGCTTATGGGGTATTGCTCACCGCTGTTGGGAACACCGAGTGGGCAATGCTGAGACCTGCCAGTTGGTTTTTGGCATGAAACATTCTGGTGCCTCACTCCAGTGTTTACTGAATTTTTTAATCGCCTTCGTTGGCTAAGTTACATTCTCCGTGTGCCCCTTGACCGTCTCCTGGCGTTCTTTATTCAACTTCGTTGTCCCAACTTGGGCGAAACCTCGAGATGGCTAGTCCATGCCATGGCATAAAGCCACGATGAAACTGACAGAGTGACTTGGTCAGGCTGGTGCATGCCATCTTCAGGAATAGGGGTCTTGGGTTGGTCCGCACCAGTGGTTAGAGAATCTACCAGACGTGACACAGTCGCCCAGTCAATGACGTTCCTGCATTCGGTCTCTTGTATCTGGTTATTACTTTTCCATCCCGATTAGTTTAACGCACTTCTTCCTTGATGTCATTTTCCTTGCATTCTGCTTCCATTCAACCTTGTTTTCTTATTGTTGTTATTTATCGTTATTCTAGCGATGTGCGTCATGGCAACTGGGTCCGTCGAACTTCTCTGCCCGGATCATACCTGTTGATTATATTGACCTCATTAGCATAACTGGCCAGTCATTCCTAGCTGAGTGGCCCCACTCAGGTGATGTAGGAGTTGTCAAACAATTCACATCGCTACTGGTAGGTACATCAGATGTCATAATGCATCGCTTGAAAAAGGCAAAGGTGCAGGGCTCAGAAATGCATGTATTTGAAGGACACCGCTTGGTGCACTTAGATAGGTTCTCCGAGCAACGACATCTGGGGCTATTTTAACAATACAAAAAATACGTTAAACTGGTCCGCGAGGATTGATAAAACGGCCAATAGCACCTTGAGACAAGCTTTTGCTGTAACCCCAAGTTACTCTAAAGACACATGAAGGTTCGTAGCACCGTGTCCGGCCCAGTCAACCTCCAAGGCGATGTACCCCAAAACTCGCTACTCAGATCACGCCTTTTTCTGATCTTCGTAACTATTTTTTGCGAAAGCCCTGTTCACACCTCTACTTTTTGCTAAAGATTAAAAATATAGCATACTATCGCTACAATGGAAGATCGCACAGCCCCGCAATGTGATCTGGATAGAGCACACATGAACAAACCGAGTAAATGTTCCAGTTCTTCACGACCAAGCGCAAATTCTGAGCATACGATATCAAAGAATTCACAACTATCTACTAGGGCCACAAAATCCCACACCACGCTTCCAGTGGGAGAGATTTTGGAGTGCTCATGCAAGAAGACCTTGGTTCCTGAGACAGACCAAAAGCCCATCGAATGAAGCAATTAACCACTGTGGCCTTCGATCCCTCCATTTCCTTCAAATGTTTGGTGCTTACGTGGGGCCGCGTGTGTGATACTTATCCAGGCTACACAACACACGATTACACACAATATTGAGGGCTTGTTCCCCTCGCCTACCAAATTACGCTGAAATCTCTAAGGAAGTTTCCCGCCTCTGCTGGTCCATCTCACAATGGTGTACCAGCTACAACAGCAAATTTAACTACACTTGCCATCATTTTTTAACTATATATATATATATATATATATATATATATATATATATATATGGTTGGCGGCATCCGGTTTCGGATTTGCCTGTCACTGTGGTCAGCCACAGGACGCCTGCGCCTACAGAGGGACCATGGATGGCTTGTGCTGCACCACCCACAGCTCCATCCACACACCCCATATCCAGTGTAAACCCGAAGGAATAAGACTGGGAGGCATGCGGATGGGAGCCACGTTTCATCAACGGAGCCGGCCCACACTCCTTCACAGGCAAACACAAGCACGCTGCATTTGGGAATCAAGCGCACACA